CCGCTCTTCTGCTCAGTTACCTTAGATGACCTCCTCTTAGTAGGTAAGTGCCACCACAGCACCTGCTCTTAAGTCTTGCTGTGTTAAGGCCCCTTTCTGAGGGCATTCTGCATAACTATAAGCCCTAGACAAAGGGATTAAGAGTGAAACTCTCTGCCCTACAGATCAGATCCTGACGTGCTGCCATTTCACTCAAGAACATTCCAGCTGAATACTAAATCATTTTTACTTAATGACGCATAGCTCCCTCCTTCCCTACACATCACCCAGTAAAAAAAAAAGCCCAGACAAGCCCAGAGCTGCAGAAATGGTCCTCACTTCTTACAGCAAGCCCCAAAAATAAGGAAAAAATGGATTCAGAAAAGAGACAGGAGAAGCAGGCAGAAAGAAGAATCAAAGGCAGAAACAGATGCAGTAGCAGGAACGTATTTTTTTCTTCCTGAGTACAAACAACAATAAAGGACTCGCTACAAGTAACGGTCCAAACATCGCATCTCCTGGTTTATGCTGTACACAGCGTGGAATTTGGCCTGCAAGTACAAGCCAGACTTCATGCTGCTGACTTAGGTAAAACATTGGCAGTTTAGTTAAAATGGGAGCATGAAGGGATGACGTGCGAATCCACAGCTCAACCAAACCCGAGAGTCCTGGACATCGATGGGACCATCAAAACAAGGCATCTCCAAGGGTATCAGACCTATCCCCCTCAGTGCTGTGGGAACAAGCGAGACTGTTACCTCTTCTCTGGATTTTTTAGACCTGTCGTCATCTTTCCTGGTCTTTTTTAATGCATCTGTGCCAACCACCGAAAGGATATTTCTTAGCCTGGAAAGAAACACATTAAGTCCTACTCAGAGAATTCTCCGCTAACCTGACCAATCATCCCTGTCTGCCACTGCTTCTTCCGCAGCGTTCTTGCTGCAACGCGCCGAGGCGTTACTGACTGCCGGTGCTCACCGCGCCCCAGCTACACGGAAAACGCCAGGAATTTGATAAAGTGGGTAAAGCTGAGCGCTCCCTGTGCGCAGCGCCCGGGGCAGACACAGCACCTCTCCCTCCTTTCTGCAGGACCCTCTCCAAAGAGCGTGATGGGCTCCCCCAGCGCTCGCAAGCAGGCTTTCACTTCAGAGTCGTCAGTGGAGACGTTGATCTGCCGGGCTCGCTTCCTGCGCTCAAACTCAGCCAGCACCTCCGCCTGCCGCTCGCTCATGTGGTCTTCGAGGTCAAAGACCTCACCTGAGCGAGAAACGAAACCGTCAGGTTGAAAACAACACTGGGACGAGAGATCGCTCTCAGGCAGGAAGAGCCAACAGCCCGGTGATAGAAGGGATCATAAGAAACGTGAAACTATAACAAAGAAGCTTTAATATTTTCTAGTTCTTAGTAGTTTTTATTATTATAGCTTGTATTCCTGCATACATAGGGATCTAATGCTGGAACTGTTAACACTAATCCCTGTTTCTACTAAGGAATGCAGTGGATGGATGTAGATATAAGTGATCACTTTAAGTCATTAGACAAAATAATTGAAACAAAAGTGAGTCTTGGTCCTCAGTGAATAGCTGGGATAACTGTAGGATAAGAGAGACTCCTAAATAATTCTACTCCAGACAGCTCGGCCTTGGGAGAGCAGATGCGCAGGACCATGAAAACAGGGGAGCTACAAAGTGACCACGAGACTGTAACCATGCAGCCGTGACGGACACGGGATACACGGTCTCAGAACTGAGCTTGCGCAAGAACAAAGGTCCACCAACGGATGAGGAGCACAAGCCTTCATCTGAAGACCCCCGACGACCACCCGGGGATGCTAACAGACATGTGTCAAAGATACTAACATATGCTAATTAGTTCTTGTAAGAATTATGCATATGCTAAGCATTTCCTCGAAATATAATGAATATGTATATTGTGATTGTACTTAGCCTGAAATGACAGGGTGTTTGGGGCGCACGTCTGGAGGAGAGATCCCCCGTGTGCCCGGCGCCGTGACACGGGACGTGCTGTACTGTTGGGTTATTACCGGATCTTTGAGTCACCGGGCAACGCTCTCCTGGTTTTTCATTTTAAATTATGCCCAAAAGTTGATCAGAGACTTGAAAGTGTCACGCTCCGGGTAAAGATGGAAAAAAAACTCAAAAAGGTGGTTAAACATCCTCACCGCTGCTGATGTTGATGTTGCCGGCCTCGAGCGCAGCCTTCATCCCCTCCCTTCCCAGCAGCCCCGATTCGCCTTTCGCCAGACGCTCCCTCTCCTTCTCCTCCAAGCTGCCATAGAAGATGGGGGCTCTCTTGGTCGCGGGCGCATCGCTCTCTTCGGCGGGCTTGCTCTTTGTGGCCTGCAAGGTAAAGGCAGAATTTTAAGTGCGTTTCGGCTGGAAAGGAGACAGTGAACAGCCGGGCTGTGTGAGAAAACCCTGCTCTGCTAGCGACAGCCCGCACGGCATCGTGAGGAGACCCTGGAACCGTCTGCGGCCCAGGCACAGGGAGCAGAAGCGAAATGCGGCACCGAGTCATCTGCCTCAATGGGACAGTGGAGTCTCCCGGTTCTTCACGGCCTGCTCGGACCGTGCTGCAGGCGCCGGGGTTCTGATTTTTTAAAAACGCTTCAGGAGACGAAGCTGTTCCTCGTGTCGCCGGACAAGCCCGGGGCAGGCCCCACCGCTG